GGGCTGATTTTTAGTCCCAATCCCGATGGGCCGGGTACTGTTACCGGTATGATCGCCCATATTGACGCACCTAATTCCTAAACTTCTAACAGATACAACATAAACCGATCCTTCAGCCTCATATGAGCTCTCAGACACGTTCAAAATTAAACTGTCATCGCTGTCTGAGCTTGCTGCTGTGTGCCCCATCGTGCGTTTACATGCAGATGCTGGGATCCTGAACGGTGCAGCTGGAGCGCTGTGCCCGCAATGACGTCACACATAATTTGGCGGGATTTGAAGAATCCCCGAGAAGATCTAGAAAATTCTCAACATTGAAGGGCAGATTAATGGTTATCAAAGTACAAATATCCAAAATCAGTTCAGTAACGGTTTTCAAGGGGACAATATTTACTCAAATTGATGGGTTTGGATGATGGGGGAAACTCGTGTCACAGGCTCTTTAAGTATCAAATACAATTATTATAAATGACCAGTTTATAATATTGTACTTGTGTGTCTTGTCATTATTTAATAATTTCAACTGGCCACTTTTTTTCATGTGCATTTGTTTAATGTTTCTGGTGTTGATATTACATTATGCACTTGTGATTTCAAAGCCTCCCCCCACCTTTACATAGTTAGCTGTTTCATCCAGTAAGTGTCATGTCCATTTTAATAGCCTTATGTTCTTTAACCTTCTGTCAGGCTAAATGAAGGTTTAGCTGTCTTTCACCATTTAATTTTGATTGCAATATATGGTAGAGTACAACAAGTATGTGCCTCCAATCCTTTATCACATTCATTTTTCTCACCGTAAAGCTTGGAGGGATTTTGTCAGTTTTTATTGAGCATTCTTAATTAGTGATGATCAAGATGATGCTTCATTGATTCATTTATTTTCATATTGCCAGTTTTAACATTCAGTAAATGTCCAATTTTGCACTCTCACCTTCAAAACCACACGTACCTGGCACTGTCGGTACTGTTATTAATATTGTTTGTTGTCATTTAATGTGTATAGTGACGTATTAAAGGGCATAGCATACCCACCCTATTTGGCTACAGTACAATTGAATCTCTATGTAGAGCAAATGTCATTTGTAAATACCAAATGCTTTATTAGAAAACCCATGCAAAGATGCAGTCTCTCCACATTAAAAAGCAGCCGTTACCACGACAACAGGTCTTGCAGATGGATAATATTGGTGTGATTCTTTTATGGTTCTCATTTTTGACCTCTTACTTCATGATTGGAAAAGCATGTCACCCAGACCTTGCATTTATAAAGAAAACCACAACGCATTGGCCTTGAGCTTTGGGATATAATTCAACCTTTAGTTAAGCAAGTTTGTAGAAAATGTCACTTTTGGGGAAATAACCATCTGAATACATGGTTGCTTGAGCCCTGAAAGTCTAACAAAAAACATTAAATGTGTAAATGACAAAAAAAACAAAAACATCCATCATTAAGTGCACAACCTGAATATGTATAGAACGGTTTTCAACTATACAGCACAAATGAAGCAGGCAGGCACTCACAAATTGATAGGTGTACACAAATAAATGTAATAACACAGATTATGTCTAAACACAAGCAGCACTTTCTTTTCCAAGCAGGAGTTACTAATGCAATGTTGTTGTTCAGATAGGTGAATGCTAGTCTCAGCTTAATATTTTTTTAAAAAGCAAATTCATTATTTCATGATTGGACAACTAGTCATACACAAAGTGGAGCCGCAATACAGTGGGTAAGTACATTTGAAAAAACAGCACATCATAGAATCATTGTTGGTCATTCCTTCTTAGTTTCTTCCAGCTCCTGTTTCACCTCTTCATAGGTAGGATCCTCCTCTTTTTCATCCCCATCATCCGTCTTGGAGTTAGGGACCCAGAGCCCGGACTCTATGCACCTCTTCATTTGAACCTTCGCCTCCTAAGCACATAAAACAATCACATTTATTAACATACCCAAAGTAGGACAAAGACGACACACATGAATTAGGTAACTTTACATTTACATAACTGAAATATGAAATAAGAAACCTACCGTTGGGTCCATTTTGCTAATAGCCTCTTGTAACATTTGGATGTCCTTATCATCAAAGCATTTCTGCATCTCCTGCAATTAAGAACATGTTTTGTAAGGCATTTTAAACTTCAGAAAAGAGAAAAAAGTGCACATGCGTTTTGTAAAAGGACTCACAACTGGCAGTGACTCGTACACCTCCACAGGATCTAGCCCTCCAGGTCCCATGCGTTTCTTCCGCTCCTCTTCCTCATACTCTTTCATTGCCTTTTCGATGCGGATCTTTGCCCTGCCCCGAACTCGCTCCTTGAACGACTCTAGCTCGTCGTTGAAAGCTTCCTGGTACTGCTGATCTGCTGTCTGTGAGTGGACACATAGTTTTGTGTGTTGGCAGACATAACAATTTGCATTTAATTGAACATAAAACAGGTATTTTCCTCGGTGTTGGTGTTTCAGAAGAATGTTTTGATAAAGTTAGGAACCTAAAGAGTATGTTAACACCTATGGAAAGTCTTGATTTTGCTGACATCCAGTGGTTTAAAGATTCAACTTGCTGCAGTGTTACAGTACAGGTGTACTCCAGTAACTGTGACATCACTACTACTGTAGGTCTGGTCAGAGTTGAAATTCTCAACCATGATGAAATCAGAATCAGAATACCTTTATTAGTCCCACGGAGGGAAAATGTGCGTAGTTACAGCAGGAAAAAGAGCCACAGACAGCTTAATGTTACATAATGTTAAATATGTGAAATGCATTTTAAAAAAAAGTACTAAGTTATGATATAATATAAAAAATATATATAATATAAAATAAAAAGTGTTGTGCTGTGCTGGTTGTATAGTCTGACCGCTGCAGGAAGGAAAGACCTGCGGTATCTCTCTGTGAGACACCGGGGATGCAGCAGCGTATCACTGAAGGAGCTGCACAGTGAGGACGGGGTGTCCTGGAGGGGGTGGGACACATTTTCCAGCAGGGAG